CCTATTTCTTTCACAGAAAATCATGTCTCTCCACTTAAAAATAACAACATTTAAAGGGGACCTATCATGCAAAATGCACTTTGTGATGTCTTTTATAAACAAATATGTGTCCCCCTGCCCTCTCTCTTTTTCTCCGTACCCAAATCTTTTAANACCTATCATGCAAAATGCACTTTGTGATGTCTTTTATACATAAATATGTGTCCCCGGTGCGTCGGGGAACTCACGCAGCGTCAGAAAATAAAACCCTCTCTCTTTTCCTCGGTACCCAAATCTTTTAAAAAACGGGTGTACAACGAGCGGATACAGATTTCCATCCGAATCTCGTCTTTGTTTACATTAGCAAGCCTCGCTAACACTCAGAGCTAACCTGTACTGTAGTAGAGCACATGTGTTTTAAAAAGCAGGAAATAAAAAAAGGAACTCATCTTGTGATAAACCCGGAAGAGAAAAAGCATTTGAGCTCCATACTGTTTCAGAAATAATCCTTGACGTGGTTTAAACAGGATGGCGTTTTATCACAACCAAATTTTACTTTATCTCCGGTAGAATTCTGATCAGGCATTAGCTCCGCCTCCTCTTATTTATTTTTTTCAAGCTAAGGACCCAAAATCTGCGTTTCTCTATAGGGCTGCAAAAGAGGGGTTTGAGCAGTAAGAGCCATTGCTACAAGGGTGATCTGTTTGGTATTTTGAAAAAAAAACTTCACAGACATGTTTTATATAGGTATGGCCCTACAATATATTTTTCAAATATAGCATGATAGGTCCACTTTAAGTTTACTTGTGCCAGATAAGTACATTTCAATACTTCTTTAGCTAAGATACGTCTGGGCTCTGAGATCAATGGAAATCCTTCTGCCTGCGAGCTGTGAATAGCCCAAAATATATCTTTTACTTGATTTTATTTGATATTATTCATGTAGGAAATGGGCTACACCTCAGGTGTAGATAACCTTTTGGAGAGCAAATACTTAGCTCTAGTCTGGCTGTCCAAACTAAAACCCCATAAAGTGTGGGATTATAGAAATGAGCCTTGTTCCACCAATCGACCAAAACTGTGATCTAATCACAATAAATATAGCTTTATCGCTTTATGGCAACATATTCAAATCCGACGAGCATTGTGTGTCTCATTGTCCCCTTACTGTTCTCAGCTAAGGGATCTAATACATATCATGCTGTGGGTGGACAGCTCATCCCATGCCTTGGAGCTTGACTCAAAGTTGTACACACTCCTATATCAACTGATCTTTATTTGTTTTTATTTTCAGTGAAAATGTTGCTAGTGGTTGAGGGAAGGTCAAGTGTGCCTCCCTATCACCATGCCTCTTTCCGTCTGTCTGGGCCTCTGGGCACCTAATCAAATAAGTTGTGACTCACACACAGAGACACACACTCACTGTGACTCATCAGACAGTCTTGGTGGGGGTTGCTGCAAAGTTACACGACACAAAAACATAAATCCTATTCAGAGCAGAGTAAACTACTGGACATTCACCAGGGATCCTCCTCAAAGGAGCTTTGTTTAAGACAAGAACTTCAAATATAGGGGCCTTGAGGAAAGTTTGTTTAGTCGATACAGGTGTAGCACTTCTTGCACTTGAATTTATCTTGTGTTTTTAAAGCAGCAGTGAAGCCTCTTTCCTGGCAACATCATCTCTCGCATGGCGCAGACAGAACAATGTAGTATCTGAAGGATTTGACGATGACTTATTAGCTATTTTTCTTTATTCTGTTGGGCAGACAAGCATGAAATCACAGCTGTTGAGTAATTCCCCTCTAAGAGAAGTAACATGCTCAACAACATAATAACTCTTCATCCGACAGTGGAATTATATTAGAGCTGGTTTTTCCTGGTGGTGTTTTTAGCAGGAGGGATGCAGTTCTTGTCACATTAAACCGGGTCTCGTGTCCTGTGGTGTACGGCGAGAGTGGCTCAACACCACAGCTGGCATGGAATCACTAGAGGGCGGATGCGTTTCTCTGGCAGTGTTACTCCATCAGCAACTCCCTGTTCATCCCTCTCCCTCTCTCTCTCTCCCTCTCTCTCTCTCTCTCTCTCTCTCTCTGTCCCTTTAGGTTACTGCAGAGGACAGGCAGAAGGACAACAATGACATATCCAATGGTAAAAACGGCTGCTTTGCACTGCTGGTCCCAACATTCATGTTGAAAGTAATCCACACTGTATCAGTACACAAGATCGCATTCCCAAGGTCAAATATTATGATGCCAGATTGGGTAGATGGTCATTGATATTGTTTTATTCTTTATAATGAATGTAGGCAATATCTTCATTATGAGTTGCATTAAACAGCATCTTTGTAGAGTAGTCCAATTCATGGGATTTGAAATATTTCATATCTCGCCTCCACTCCCTCCATCTTTCTATCCATGCTTCCATCAGTTGGCCAAGTCACTTTGAAGAAGATGGGACTGTGAAATGATGCCTTATGACAACTAGCCAATTCCCTGCCTTCTCTCTGCCCCCGTTTAGTTGCTTAGTAACACCTGCAGTTTGAGCTAGCATACCACATAGCTCAGCAGCAGAGAGACTGGCCCCTGACGCCTCAGCTTTCTGATCAGACATTTCGCTTCGAGAAGAGCCTGGGGGCAGAGCAACGGTGTCTGTGTGTGCGGGTGTGTGTGTTTTATGGGTGGAGTGTGTGTGACTGTGTGCACGTCTATGACTTTGCTCTGCATGCATTGAGATTGTGGGAGCCAGTGAGTGGGAGTATGGATGTGCATGTGTGCTTAAACTATGCCATTATGTGGGAGTTTGGCCAATTCGACTCGCTGTGTTTAAGATAATGATTTGAGTCCCGGATAACTTAATATGAGTCACAAGAGGAAATGCATTTTGCTACTTGCAGCATTTTTATAAAGGAGATTTCACAGGCAATTCAGTGTCTATCTGGTAAGCATGACTCACAACAGTAAAACTGACATTCTACTCAGCTTTATGAGGACATGTTTTTTTAATTTATTTACATACTGCAGGATATAATGAGTTATACTGAATACATGTATAAATATAAATACATTTTAAAAATACATTTGCTACCTTACAGCAGATGTCTAACTAAACAAAAATGTTTTTATCATTAACACTCACAATCACAAATGAATCTCCCCTCCAGATCGACCCAAAACTGCATTGGGGGATCGTTTAACTGCGGACCCCACGACTCCCGTCAATCCCATCCTGCAGGAGACCTGGGTGGACCTGGATGACTTTGCCAAATGCTTTCAGTGAGACACAGACACAAATATTTACTGCAAACAGACTGCACCAATAGAGAAACAAATGAACACGTGATAATGTTTCGAATTGTTTTTTATTTACTAAGCTCATAAATAACTGGCATTCATTTATACATTTCTTCCAGGACCCTCTTGGTTTTCCATACACCACAATGCTTCCCACATCAGATCCACATATCTAATTTTAAGGTATAGTTTACATCATCACAGAACAGTCTAGTGACTACTTTGTGCATCTTTACAATTTACTGCTGGTTCTCGCTGTCAGTTTTGTATTTGTCGTCATTAATATAGCTGTTTGTTTTCACAGAGCACCGTCCTGCCCAAAACTGCAACAGGCACCAACTCTACTGGGTCAGCTACTAACATCACTGGATCCATTCCTTTGATATCTACTGTGGCAAGCCCTGAAGTACACACATGCAAACACACATGAACACACACACATGCACCTATTGCACATAAGCACACATTTTGCCATCTACAATATGATTCAAGTACCCACAAATGTTTGCTTAGTTCTCATGGAGATGGCTCAGTTGTCATGTGTGGAACTGTTGTCACATTATTGGCATCTGGTTATCAGCTAGTTAGTAAACTTTGATTTAATAGTGTTTTTGTAAACCCAATATTTCCAATTCAAAAAATGCAATTAAGGAATCTATTTAGTTCTTAAAGTAACATACATTACATAAACACACCTGTGCACTTGTATATGAGTGAACGTATGCAAGTGTGTGTGTGTGTCTTAAATGTCTGTGTTTTTATACGCCTGTGTGAGCACTGAGTCTGCTTGTCACTCTGAACATGTATGCGTTCTCTCCCTCTTTTCTTGTTCCCTATCTGTCTTTTTTCCCTCCCTCTTTTGTCTCCTGCTTTGTCTTTCTCACTGTCTCTCTCACAGCTGCTTTTTCTTCCATGACTAAATTCACCGTCTTAGCCTCTATCTTTTAGGTGCTACCTCAAATGCTTCTTTCACTCACTCATCTCTTCCTATTTACTTCACCCACCTCTTCTTCTCCCTTCCCCCTGTATCTTCTTCAAGCCACTCTGACTCTTCTATCAGTTTATCATCACCCCTCCCTATGGCTTTCTGCTCTTTCTGTCTTTTGCTTGTCTTTTTCCTTGACTGCCTTTGTCTGTTTCAGTGCATGTGGCGTACGTGCGCTTGCGTGCGTGTTTGCTTATGTGTGTGTGTGGGTGTCTTCCCCTCCCCAGAGTCCAGAGGTAAAAGGCACACACTACCTGTGTGTGGACAGCGTGCAGCATCCCCAGATCCACATCAGCTTCTCTGCTCTGCTTCTCTGGGCAGATACAGCTGAGGAGAGTAAGGATTATGAACACGCACACACATTTTCTGCACACAAAAAGATTTTCTGATGCAAGTAATGTAAGGCAGTTATAATTCTATATCTAAGCACTTGCATAAGTCCTAAACTATCACTTAAGTGTGTGGGATATACTGTATAGGTTTATAATGTTCCTAAAAACAGTAGAAAAACATTTATCTAATGAATGTATAGCCTACATGATAGTTCAATGTGCTTTGTCACTATGCACATTTTCTGTCTTTGCTCTCCAACACTTCATAGAAAAGGAAGCATCAGTATGTACGTCTGCTGTTCTCACCGCCCAGAACTACTCCTGGAAAAGCCTGCAGTCTGAGCTGCCAATTCTCACCATCAAGACCACCACCTCAAAAGCAGCCGTGCTTAACTTACCCCCGGGGTAGGACAGCCTTAATGAATACTGACAACTGTGTGTTGTATTGATCAAAATTAAAGGCTTAGATACATTCACAAATCTATTCTATAGACTGCATGCTCAACCATTTTTATGAGGATCCCCACTACCTAATACCAAAGTACTCCCACAGGAGGTAATGGTTTAGTATCCCATTTCATACGTACAATATTTGATATGGGGGTACTTTGATTCTTCTCTCTGCTTGTGGAACATTTTGATAACCATGCAATGCTCATGAAATATTCATACATATAGGCAAATGTTTTACACTGTGACCAGTCTAATCTATCAACCTTGATGGCTAATAACTCATGTCTTCTTTTACATTTCACACACTTATCTCTACAAAATGGTATCCTTTCTCACAATTCTTCACATTTATTTTTTCCAACTTCAAGCTTTCAACCCATAACGACAAATGACCCTAAGCGCTCCTCTGCATTGCAATAATGATGCCAAGGTTAGAGCTTTAATTGTCATCATGGGAACCTGTAAGCATATTTTGAACAGCACCCTTGAGAGTTTTTGATTCGTTTTTTTTAGGAAGCTTTTCACTCTTCTTGTGATCTTTTTCACACCGCTATGCAGAGATCTACTTAAAGCAATCATAAATTGAGCAGAGGATTTCTGCCTACTTTCGATGCTCTGAAAAGCAGTAAAAAGCATCTGTCCTACTCTCTATTAATGGGTGCTACTTGGCCTAGAAGCAGAGGGCCTAGTTTCTGGGGTCAGATGCAGGTATGCAGCAGTGCAATTACCACTGAGCCATTATCACACACCGCACTCAACTTATTATGTCCAAATACCCCATGGCACACTCACTCCAAGAGAGAATAGCTGACATCCAAGCTTTTCTGTAGCAATCATCTTTAAAAACATGTCCACTATTTTAGTTCTTGCATGTCACTTTTAGCCCATGTTAACTGTACTGTATGTGGTATACTATTTTGCCAATATGTTGTGTTTTGCTTTCTTATTTCACATTTTTGAACATTCATCACTGTCCTGTGTGTCCATTCATTTAAAAATAGGTTTTTGTCCTCTTCTTTCGTACAACTCCCATTTTTCCCCTTTCCACTCCACTTCTCTCTTCTTCCTGTATTCTCTCCCCTACACCTCACCTTTTTTACCCTTCCTCCTATCCGCTTCTCTTTCTCTCTGTATATTTTTCTACAGCTCATTTCTCTGCTTCTACAGCACCAGCCCAGCTCTGCCTCAGTGCTCATCCATTTATTTAGGATGTGATGGCTGAATTATGTAAAGCTAATGGGGCCATGGAAGTTGGGTTCCACTCTCTCATGGCTGACAAGGCCCTGTGAACTCAACTTGGCACTTGGCACATTAGACATTAGGCTACTGCACTTCCGACCGTTTGACCCATTCGGTATTACTTGAACTAACATAGCACTACTCTTAAGTCTAGGGAGGGATTTTATTCACACTTATTTAACACATTTTGTCCATGATAGTACAGTTACAATTACCAAAAACGGTGTAGTCACTGAGTGGTTGGTTTCTCTATGTACTGATTACTATAAGTTTCCTCATTTAAGTAGCCTAACATTTTTGACATTTCTGTACTTACCAATTGAGAAGGGAGAACAAATTGTCAAGAGCCCAACCAGGAATTGCAAGGAGGTGCAAAGGAGACAAATCTGAGAGGTTGAGAGATTATTTATTAGAACAGTTATTGTGAAATGATCTAAGAAGGCAACATCACTCTTTTATTGACCTTATAGCAAAGCATGCGGCCAGTGAAAAGTCTTCATGAAAAGACTTCACCTCTCTTTAAAGGGTCGCTGGTGAAACAGATGAGTGCCCGCTGTTTTAGAGGAATTTATAGTGTGCCGAACCCCAGGATTTATGTTGTTGTTTTGAAAATACTTAGAATGCTTTCTCTCCCTTATAGGCGCCATGTGTTGTCCTTCCACACAAAGGCAGCGCTGGGTTACCACGTTCACCTGTACAGCAAGACACCTTTCATCTTTGGGGATGAAGAAACCATCATGTCAAACCTCACCAAGGTAACGAGGGCTTTAGTTATCAGTTGACAATCAGATGACTTTCAAAACACACGAGTATTTGTGGATTTGAAAGGTAATTGTACCTTGTTTTCTGAACAAGGAATATTCATTTATATTTGTTTTCTTTATCTGTGGATGCATTTTAACAGCTACATGACATTTATACTTGTTTGCTGCTTTTTTATACATCCTCTTAAACAGACGAATCGAGATGTGGATAGCTTTAAACCTACATCATGCCACAAGATAGCATGAGGGGCGATATATTTACTATATATATTTACTTGTTTGCCTGTCCTTGTTTGTCTACCCTCCCTCATACTGTAAAGCGTCTTTGAGTTGTGAAAAGCGCTATATAAATAAAATGCATTATTATTATTATTATTATAGGAATATTTCTTTAATTTACTTCTCATTCTCAAAGTAATTTCCTCACTCACTAAAGCTCTAACAGGGGGACGTTTTGACTAAGATATGCAGTGTTTGCCCAACAAATGAACTAGACAGCACTCGGAGCATGAATACCTCTGCCGAGGCTGCACAATCCTCTATTAATCCTTGATTCATAATAATCTTTTTTTATATTTATATCTGGATATGTGTTTTCCTGTTCAAAACAGGAAAGTGCTCGTTTCATAGAGCAGGCCTCCTCCATCTTTAAGGCCCTCTCCAGAGTGGTGTCTTCCTTTAGCGATGAGCAGGATCAGCCAGCAGCCAGAAGAAACCTGGAAGAGACTCACTGTCCGCAGAACATCAACACCAGCCTGGCGAAAGGGGAACACCAAGAGGTAGCTTGTTAGCCTATGATGGCATACAGTTCCTGTGTACGTTGAGTGGATACCTCACCCTGCTTAACATAGTTTAGCTTGGTAATGGAACAGATATTGTAGTTTAAAGACTGAAATTGCCATTTCAAAATGATCAGTCCTGGCCAGAAGCTAACAATGTGCTAAGCTAATACCGATGGTTACAAGGTTACATTTTTGTAGAAGGCTGTTACAAGGCTGTTAGTAGTATTTCATATTAAAATAGTAAAACAGATGTTTTGTAATCTTACTTTTTTTTTTAGATATCAAATTGCTTTATAGTTTTCCTAGCTTGAAAGTTCATACTTATCAATGTCTGTAGGTTTTGATTACTGGACAGACACAGTGTATATACACACTTACCTATATGGCTATTGAAAAAGGTAAATGATGTGCAGACTAACCTCCCACCTACTTGAGCAACAAGGGGGCTTGTCTGGAAGATTCATAAATGAATATTAACTCCTTAAGCCAACTTCACAGCCGACTACTCATGAGGATGTAATTACAAAAATCTAAGCAGCCGGAAAATAAGCATCCTCACATGTAGACACCCAATTGATAACACCCTCCTGCACTATCACTGTGTGTGTAGGTGTTTAACTTTGCAGTGTACAGCATGCTGTGTGAGGCTCTGGGCAGGAAGCTGACATCAGAAGAGCGCTTTGCTGTACTAGCTCTCACAGCTGACCCTTCACCTTTGGCAATGGACCCCAAAGAACACTCTGATACAAGTAAGTGCCATTTGTTTGTTTCTGTGTATTGTACATCTGCATGCGTTAGTATAAGTATATACTCAAAACTACATTACACTGATTTAAATCAATTTAATTAGATATGATTACTATGGTTTCTACATTATTTCCTTCACAATTCTTCAGGCTGGGTTTAAAGGACATTTGGTTCGAGAAATAATAAACACCTCAAAACCAGGTGAACACTCTCATTCACACATAGAGAATGTAATAATTCAAGTAGCATGGTCAGCTTTGAATCCTATCTTTTAGTCTTACAGGAAGTCCAAAATACTCACCAAATATTGATTGGGTGGTCTTGAATTCAGCTTATTTCCTCAATTCTCTATGTTTGAAAAGCAAACACATCTACAGCATTTGCGACAGCTAAAGGAACCAAAAAAGGGAAAAATAAATAAAAACATGTCGATTATTATTTATATCTGAGAACACACATGACACATCATTCACTGTTTGATTTAGCCCAGTGGCTTATATCGAGTCTCTGAGCAGAGGCACACATACTGTATGTATTGATGAGACTACCAATCTTACTAATACACCCTGACAGATGAGGGGTAGCCACAGAGGGGAAATACACACATATCTGGGAAATGTGCACATGCGTAAAGACAACATTCCTACATCAATAACCATACCTCTCAATAATGACAGCAAGTGAAAGATGGACTTGGAAAGACTGGACAGCTTGTTGGAAAGAATGCACATTTTAATAAGAGACAGAACTGAGTAGCTTTTATCAATACATGTATTCAATAATGTTGCTTGGAATAATGTTTGTGTACTATTTCACTGCAAATTAAGCTTTTTTGCCTTTTGCAGCCTATTTCCATTTTGTTACCTACTTCCGTTTAATCATTTTTAATTACCTTATCATCTCTAAAATTGGTGGTAATTATCTCACTGTGAAGGTGCACTACTGTTTGCAGCTTTTCATTGCTCAGACATTCTGTAGCTTTTACCAAGACCTGACACTAACTGTCTTCTCCAGATGCAACACTTGACACTAACTTGCAGCCATTGGAATATACACAGCCTCATGTATGCAGTATTTGCATAAAATAGAGCTGATCATTTGCGTTAATGTGATTTGTCCATTCTTTTTATGGCTTGAACATTTGCTTGGATCATAGCAAACATAAAAACATCCACGTCATTATACTGCAGACCCCATCTGCCAGCAACACACACACACACACACACACACACACACACACACACACACACACACACACACACACACACACACACACTTGACAAAGCACAAAGTGCAGCTATCAGAGTTAACACTTACAGTAATGTCAAAACACCGATCATATTTTAAGTACAATTTTGCCTTTTATTTGTTCTTATGATGCAGCACATTTGTTTATACCACATATGTTTGTACTTCTCACTTTTTTTCCTCCCTCCTCTTTTCAACTGTTCCTTCATCTCTTTCCTGCTGCCTAATTTTCTCTCCGTCTCTCTGCCTGTCTGTGATTCTAAAGATGATAGGAGGTCTTCGTCTCTCAATAGCCAGACACGGCCTGCTATAATGGCTGTATCAATTTGGAAAAGGGGGCATTTGAAAAGCAAGTGCTGAGCTGGAGGGAGGATGTGAGGACACCTAACTTGTGTCATGCAGCTGTCTCTTCAGAGCGTTTCTCTCACTCATATGCACAGACAAACACTTACTGACACACACATCTTCATGAACACGGTACTGCATCTTTTATCTAATGTTCTCTTCTGTCAGAGTGGGTAACTGTCGGCTGAGATGAGTGTGACAGTTAATGTCAAGGTGTGAATAATCTCCTCCTCTCACTGAATGAGACAAAAACGCATTTTGAAAAGTCTGATTCCCTGAACTAGGTCAGCTTCATTCTTTTGGTTCACGTGTTAGACAGCAACATGGATTATCTTAAATCCTTAATGGTGGCTACTTTTCTATGTGTGTGTGTAATGTGTTTGTGTGTGTGTTGATGTAATTCAGGCAGGAAGGAAAACCTCAGTGCATCTAAGATCCTTTCAGACATCTGGCCGAAGGTAGAATCAGATGCAGAAAAGCATGCTGCCCTCTTGCTACGGTAAATAAATGCGTAACCACAATGACTCTGAATGACAACAAATAATGTGCACACAATGTATGAACTGCATACACAAAGACAAAGACCTCTTCCCTATTAGCCTAGCAGGTATTCATCACACAAATCTCATTATTTGAGAGAATACTATTATTATTATTATTTGAGAGAATACATGCGCTCCCACTGCAGTCCTGTGCCAATGTTGTGTTCGTTGTATGGCATGCTATCCCCCTGTTGCACCGCATGCCCAGAATCTGCTCCCTCTCCTGGTTGTGGCGGCCCGTGGCGGCCAGGCAGGGAGCATTTTCCACATTGTGTTCCATCTTTTCCCAGTGGTACCATCTGCTGTTTATCCTCTCCTCGTTCCAATCGGCTAGCAGCGTCTGCCGAATGACCCGCTGCCTGGGGAAGTATGTGTGTGCATAGGCATTGAAAAGCTTGGTCAGCGTGTGTGCGTGTGCCTGTGCGTGTGTGAAGGGTGGAGTGGGGGTTGATGGTGTGCCTTTGAGCATGTGCTTTTCTTAACTGACATCCAGAGCCAAAGATCACGCTGAGAGGAGAAGTGCATTTACGTCAATGTATTTTTATTTGACTGGATTTCACTCATAATCAGATACAATGGAGTTATGTTTATTCAAATACGTTTGTGTAAATATTTTCAACAGATAAACATTTCCCATGATCTTTTCACGTGTTTATTTAACATTTAAAATGTAAAGATCATTGAAAATAAATATGCTGAAAGTGCTCTGCTCTTCTGTGTTTTCTGCGCAGGTATATCATTGACCGCTCTGAGAGTAAAGCAGAGCTCTACCCCTGTCAGCAGGATGAATGGACCAGAGTCTCCTTCGCTGATTACTCTGTCCCTCTCCAAGACACAGCCAATTCCTGGGTCTTGGTCTTTAGGTTAGAGAACATTGTAACTTAACGCTTGTTAGGCTTGTCACTGACAGACAGTGACCGAACTTGAAAAGCATCCCATTTTCAACAATTGCCAATATGTTGCCTTCACGCAATGAACTCAGATTTTTATTCCTGAACGAACAATTAATGTTGGGAAAATGTAGATATTTCTATGACATCCCATTTTAGAATATCAACAGAAACGATTGAAAAAGATCACTGGTCAGACCGTATTACCTGTTGTTTCTGCAGAGAGGTCTTCCTGGTTTCTAAAAAGATGCTGCTGGTACCAAAGATCTACTCCCCAATCCCCAACTGTCTGCTGCACATCATAAATAATGACACAGGAGAGGAGCTGGACACGCTCTTCAGCAATGTAGCAGAACATGTCTATCAACCCAACAAGGTCTGTGGATGCTATACTGTACATACTTGCACTTCAAAACCAAATTAACTTCAAATGTACTTTATATTTTCTTGTGTGTGGAATATTTGCATATTTTTCCAGTTTTTCCTATTACCAAGATACATTGATTCACTTTAGTTATGCTTCCTGCCTGACTTAATAAAAAAACTTGGGTCATATTTTCTGACTGTCTTGCCACCATTTATGGCTGTCTGGTGACTTAATGTTGGCAGGATCTCTATTTGTTTAAGATGTGAAACACTGCCTAAAAGAGAAAACGGTACCAGTTGTGCTTTTCCCTTTTTACATCTGTCCAACACACACACACACACACACACACACACACACACACACACACACACACACACACACACACACACACACACACACACACACACACACACACACACACACACACACACCCCTCTGAAAAAACAAATGTTTTGATTTCATCTCTGTAAATCTCTTGCAGCTTGGTTATACCTTTGTAGCAGAGGCTGTCACGCCTGAATGCCCCCCTGTTGGTGCAAAGTGGAGGATGCGCTTGATTGGCTCACGGGAACTCCTGCCAAAACTGTCTCGTGAGAATCCACTCAACACATTCTCGGTGAAGGAGTTGAGGGATTATTACATTCCCGATGAGAAGAACCTCATATGTCGGTAAGAGAATTAAAAACGATATATTTAATTATCATATTTATAATAGGAATTATACATTTAAACTTGTCAATTGAAATCCACTTGACTTGGATCAACAAAACAGTGCTATTACTGATTTGTACGCACACTACAACATATGAATCATAAATATTAAAAATAATGTGTGAAAAAAAGGTTGTTTGCACAAAACAACATTAAGGTTACCCTGAAAGACGGATGGTACCCACAATCATTTGAAACTTTGTTTAACAGTTACTTTGTGGAGGTGACAGCAGACGTTGTAGGGACTGTTCAGTTTCAGACTTCCAAGCCAGATGTATTGATCCGACTGTCCATCCTGGACCAGGAGAATGAGATGGCTAGCAACACTGGGAAGGGTCATGTGGTAATCCCTGTGTTCTGCTTCCTGGCTAACAAAGGTAAGGTTTAGTCATATAAGTTATAAAATAAAATCATTCTGGATCATGACAGAAGATTTGTCAAAGTGCCCTATCTTGGGTATTACAGAGTTACATGTACGGTAGCTTCCTAAATTAAGATCAGGTGCTGGATAACGAGAGTGATACAAGTGGTTTCAAATATTTTCAAAAAAAAGCTTCATGCAAAATAGAAGAATTTATATATTGGTTGAATTTGATGTCTTTCAAATGTACCTCTAGGAACAAAGTCATCAGGAATAATATAATGTGATTGGTTGGATCACCTTTTTCAGTTGTAGCTAAATCACAACATGTGGGTCAATCATGGCATTAGAAAGAAGCCTGTTCAAAGGCAAAATGCTAAATCAGTTTATCAGTGTTAATGTATTGGAAACACATTAGATACACCTCCTGTGGTTTTCCAATACAGAGAGAGAAAGGAGTATGACATGCAACAAAGATCTCTGTTCAGAATTAAACCACGCAGTCATTGAGTTTATCATTGGAGTCTTACCACTCGGCTACCAGACACTCCATTTAAATTGTTCAAAAAGTTGTTATTGCACCATTTCAAATCAATTCTACTGTATTGGGATGGAGGCAAACATTGGTAAATCCAGCCAAGAGAAAATATGTTTTAGTTTTTAAAAACTGACCCTTTAAAGTCATATTAAACTGGCCTTTTGTTTATGCTAGCCTGATACACAGTAAAGTGCAGGTTGACAGAACAGACACAAGACCTCTACAAAACCCACTTTACTTTTCACTTGATGCTCCCGTCAGTAACAAAAGGACAGATTACTGGCTAATTTGTCTTCTCTCAGAAAAGGGCTTGGTTTAATATCTCTCTTTCAGCTACAGACACCCTCCAGCAGAGAGATGAGGAGGACACAACAGCTGGGAATTCAGCCTCCTCGTCTGACCAGCCTTCCACAGAGACTATGGTATCACTGACAACTGCCTGCGTGGTATCTGCTGTTGCTCAAACACTCTACTAATCTCACTCGCACACAAGCTTGCATCTCACTTTCCCTCTCTGTCTTTCTCACCCACTTACTTGCTGCCTGTGTTGATATCAATTTTTCACTGCCAAATACACATAACGCCTGACTTGCAAGCATGCACACAAGCACACGCATGAACTTAATCACACCCACAGACTCATCTTTTACTCAGTACAAATGTGCGAGAGGAGAGCAACGGAAACTGGAGGGGCGGTTTTGTTGTCTGTCTTATCAGTGCTTGTCAGTGAGCAGTGATTTACACATGATTTATGAGTCACTCGATTGTCTGAAGACCCCCTATCTACAGACCTGTTGTACTAGATTAATGATTGCCAAAGTATACAGTGAGTACTTTATGTGTGTACATAGGCACTGGCAGGCAAAACACACACTATGTCCATAAACGTGAACTGAGGTTTATTTGTTTTGATGTAGTAACTGTCATTTCTATCAGCACAACCAATCATTTTAACATGCCTTCTGTTTAACCTCATAAAGAAAAACAATAGATTTTCAGACACTAAACTACAAAAATGATTCTTTCTTTTCAATAAACCTATTATGAAGTACATTGTTTCACATCTTGCACGTTACAAATACTTTAAAATACGAAGCTCCTTCAACGAAGAATACTTAGCGCTTTCAAATGAACCCAACAGTGGAGTGACATCAATAGTAATGAGACGGATCATGTCAGATCCCATAGATTAGATCAGCAGCGGGCCATAATCAACAGCTATTGATCACAACTAAGACCATTGATCAAGACTTAGCGCAAAGGGTCAGTAATTAAAGCACCGCAGGATTTCACACCAGACATATTGATGCTCAGTAAAGGTAAATGAATGCTGAAGGCTCCTGTAGTCAGATTTGTTTGTAAACAGATGGGGAAAAAAGTGCTGTGGCCTTCATTTATCCATGGTGTTTATAGGAATTCATAACATTCAAATCTCTTTGTGAATTAGGTTCAATACAGCCAAAACAACAACATCAGCCGAAACAACAACATCAGTGTGTACAACATGTGCTCGTTAAAACATTTGAGTTCCCTTTGATGCTCAGCATCTCTCTATTAATCATCAGCAGTAGTGCAGATTACAGATGTATGTTCATTGTTCACAAAAAACAAAATGGCTTCCATCTTGTTTTGGCTGTGTGTTTATGATGTTGTATGCCACATGTCTGATGCTGCATATGGTTATTTGTGTAATGCTGTGTTTAATCTGTGATGTGAGGGTTTTACACTGATGTGCTTGTATGTATTTCACAGAGTCATAAGTATGTGGTGCAGGCAGAGGTGCTTCATAGCTGGGATTTGGACGAATCTCAGCTGGCTTTTGTCCATAAACTCAGAGACTTGGAGAAGAATGAAATGACAGGTAGACACTTAAGACAATTAACATCCAACATCAAACAGTCAGCTACACTGATACACCCTAGGAAATTAAACAGAACATTCAAATAAGAGTCTAAATACACATTATGAGTTCAGATATCCCAATAACAAATCGGCATTCATGCTTGTTTTTGCACAGCTTATTTTTGTGTTGAGTGTGAAACGTGGTAGATACTCATTAGGCAGTGTCAGGGGCCAAAGCAAACACTGTTTGTTTTTGGCTTCTGCTAGCCAGGGGCCTGTTAATCACAGGCCTAATGAAAGCCAAATGAATACAGCTGCTTGTGCAGATCAGAGTGAGATTTCTCATGCCCACTGCTCGTTGGCTGAGGCAATAATCCTGTCCTTTGCCACCAACTCTGCTTCTCTGCCTTTAATCATGCGGCACAAAGTGGATCAGGGCTTTGAAATCTGCAGAAGCTTCCTAAAAATTCTGAGGGGATGAATTCATTGCCACATGGATGGATGTTGATATGACAGAGGTGCTACATGGGTGACAATTTGCATGATCGCTTGAAAAGAAAGGCCAGCATGCTGTCGTTACATTTTCATTCTCTTCTCTCCGTTGCTTCTGCGATAGATCCCGTATTTACCCATTCGGTTTGCATTTTGGGAAATCTGAGGATAGTGTGTGCCTGTCTGTGCGCATGCATACTGTATGTGCTCATACAGTATGTGCGTGTTGAAGGCATTCCTAAACTTATAAGCCAAATATCAGATGTTTAGATACTCATTACAGCAATAGTCATGTGCAAGATGAACAGTAATGATTTGTTACTGAGATATTCCGTGTGTTCCATTTACATGTGCCTTCTGTTCGTAGAGCATGTTAGTTTTTTCCAACATTCACATGGGTTTGTCCATGTGTGTACGTGTAGTCCAATGTCCACACAAACCTCCTGTGGTTCTCCAATACGCTTGTGGAAGTGGGTCAATGGGAAGTCAAATGAAGTTGGCTCTTGCCCCCTGGTGCCCTGGGAAATATCTCAGCAGGAGAGTGAATTAATTTCACCCAGTTTAACTCTGTCTCAGTGGTGAGGCTGTGCCCTTGATCATGCTCCCCTACATGCTACATGGGTACACACGCACTACATGCCACGCCAAGCTTTGAAACCGTTTTAACAAGCTGTTTAACAAGCTGCAATCAAAATACTCTACTGCGCATGTTTAATGTATGCACATTTACTTCTAACTCCATCTCTGCTTTATACCCTAGTATATACCGTTAGAGCCGTCAGCAGTAGATGTGTGTGCAGCTGTGGCAGTGGTTTTCAGTCCCTTGTCAACCTCATTGACATTTAATTTTATCCTCTACAACGTTTTCCTGTATCTAAACAACGGTGCTATATTTTTTGAAACATCATTGTACACCTAAAATTGTGAGCCGAAAATTACACACAGACAGAAATTAAGATCCAATCTGAACATCGCATTTCTACATGACCCTTAGTAACTCAAAAGCATACACCAAAGCGGTCGAGGCAGAGTGGCAGGGTGTCAGCTAAATGACGGATGATTACGCCTCTCTATTTCAGCGGAGTGAGACTCATAGCTAATGCCTCATCTAAACTGGGGATTGTGTTCACTTTAGCTTTAAAGTGCAACAGTGCCATCTAGCACACATGAGGCAGCACAACACATGCCCTGTTTGCTCACTCCCACTTCAGAGAGCTTTTTGTTGAGAAGAATGTGCATAGCTAAGGTTCAGTGTGAAGATGAATGTACACGAATGCTATGTGTTGTCAGCCGTTCACACTTTAATTAGATTGGTATAAACCTGTAAAGATAGTAAGTAGAAAAACGTTAATTCTGCATAAATGATGGTATGAAAGGAAAACTCTTGAATGCTCTTAGGTATACACGACTACTGTATGCTTGTCAAATGTTTCAGAATACTCAAACAAGTGATTCCTAACAAAATCCCTTTTTAACTGCAGAATATGTATTTATTAAACCGCAATACATTGACGTCATCAAGTTATAAACACCATGTGGCCAGTGTAGATCACCTGAGTATTCACACTCTTGACGTTGTAGATAGTTATAGGAAAAGTGAATTTACCTATTCTCTGTTTGCTTAATTTAGAATACCAGCCTGAGGACCTGAACCAGTCATCCACCACCACATCTGAAACACCCAAAGCCCAGCGCAAAGGAAAAGGTGACAAGGAGAAGGAGAAGGAGAAAGAGAAGGAGAAGGAGAAGGAGAAGGGGAAGGAGAAGGAGAAGGGCAAGGAGAAGGAGAAGGAGAAGGAGAAGGAGAAGGGGAAGGAGAAGCCAGTGACCAGCCCTAAATCTGTCTCCAGACAAGAAACGGTAATACTTCACCACTGCACATAAATCAACGAACAACACTGTCAACGGCGATTGACTAATATGTACAGTTACACATATATATCAAATAATATAAAAAGTAACTAAATATGATTATATATTTAATTTAAACGCAGAGGTGAGTTGATGGAGTTTAATCCTTTAACGGACTGTGTAGCTAAGGAGAAGTCTGAAAAGCTCTCTGCCAAATTGCATTTCCAAAGGACTGTTGCGTTTCATTAGCTTTTATTGGATTAAATATGCTGTTTGGATTGCAAGTGGAATTTATAATACAATGCTATCTATGAAAACCATTCATTTACCAACGTCCTTGCCAATTCAAATAGAGTAGATGTTATGCCCTCGAACTGAAGGCCCTGCACTGCTTTTGTTATCCTTGCATATTTGTTTCCACAGTGTATTTCCCAAAGTATCCTCTGTTTAGACAAACTGCAGTGGTACTGTAAAACTTGGTCAGGATTAGCAACACTAGTAATATTAACCTTTTTAATAAGAGGGTTTGAAGAGGCAATTCTGTTGAGTACGCACTTCACTCCTCTTCAAATATTCCCATCCACATATAATGAGCTCACTCCGGACATGTCTATTTAAATAGGCAGTTCAGTATTTACATATTTTCTTATCATCTAACTCTGACATGCATCCAATCCCACAACTGCTAGACTGACCTGCGTGTCTTTACACTGAATAGGAGATGCTTATCACATAATACAATCTCATGGTGTGTAATCAGTAGAATTGTCTTGGTTGAGGAGATTGAAACACAGCGGCTTGATAAATCTCTGAGCTGCATAGCAAGTGCCTTTTATTCTCTCCTGCGCTACATGTCAAACCCTAAAGACTGACATTTTCATAATAGTGACAGATACATCTCCATTGTGAATATTTTCTTGGCATCGGGAGCACAACATTGGTGGAGGTAGAGAACATAATGATCCCTGCATAAATGAACAAAAATCGATCTATTATTAACAATGAAGACAAAACAGCTGAACAGTGCATGTAATGGTCGCCGGCTGTGTACCAGACTGTCTGAGTGGCTCATTGAAAGAGACATGATGTACTGTGGTACGGTGACCTTCAACTAGGATGTTTGTGTGCTGGAGCGTGTGTGTCATGCTTTTGTCCGTGTGTGTACATATTTGTGCAGAGCCTTGATCTGACTAAGGCCAACTGGACTTTGCGTGTGGTCAGTGATACAGGCCAATCGGAGAGCATCAAGGTGACCAAGGACACAGAGAGGAGGGACTGGATCAAAGCCACTAAAAAAGCCTGGGAGATGGCTGAGGCAGGCCGCTGTGCCAGGGTAACAAGCAGTTGTGATTCAATGTAGTTACTCATCAGTTTAATTCAGTCCAATATGTGTGTTTCTAATGTTATCTGCTGGAGAAATATCTAAGGTGTGATTTAGAAAATGGTGTAAATTACTATAATACTACTTCACCCATGGAATGTTTTGTTTTATTTTAGGCATTACAGTCTCGTCTCAAGTTTTGTAACCAACTCCAACACCAAGCAGGTGATGAAACTTCTACAGATGACACAGAAAACGGAGAGCCAGGTACCATATTTTATACACACAAATGTGCATATATTTATATATTTAGGCACTTTCTGTTTCCTCTACTTGTCATATTCAGTAAGTTAATAATGTGATCATTTCTAATTCTTGTTCTTTTAACAGAATTTGGTCCTGACATCTCTCTGAATCCATCTAATAAAAAGCTGACCAACGCCTCATGCTTCTGTCCGTCCATGGACTACACTCCTTTCATCAGGTACCCCCCCACCACACACAATATTTTCCATTTGTTTGAAATATCATTATTAATCTTAATAATATTATCCACCAGCATAAATATAAAAGATAGAATGCTGATTAGAGCAGATTGTAGATGTCATGTTGTGTTAACATGGTTATAGCCACACAACTATACTTTTCAGAATTATCCCCGCGGCTTGTTTTGACACCTCAATATTTAGTATTCCAGCCTGTACCAACACATTTAGTGTGCATAGAGGTCAGCCATGGATAATAATACATAAACAACTAAGACGGACTCATCATCTCACTGCATTATTCCAAAAGGCTATTTATTGTTTTCCTGTTGCAGTGTTGTTTGTATGCACTCCAGCTGCCTCGTGTAGTTAACTCTGTTTTCTAGGCTGTAGGCCTGCATTAGCTGCGAGGCCTGGCAGAGGAGTGAACGAGGGCGTGTTAATATCTGTGTATTTTCAGTATGCATGTTATGTTCGTGGACATACAAACTTTAGCATCCATACCAGCTTGGTTCATGCAGTGTCTGCAGGACATTGCTATGGATTTCCTGTGACCTTTGCTCCTATTGGTGCAGTGAACATCAGTGTTACAAGATTGTGCGCTCTGGCTGGCCTGAAAGGGCAATCTATAGACTATCTACTGTGGCATTTATAGATATTAAGGATAGGCTAAATGGAGGGGTTCTTCGTGAAAAACAATCTTAGAAATTACACCAGTTGTATGATATGTCAAACCACAAAGTCAAACATTTAAAACAAAAAAACTGCATTTCTTAATTGAATATACTGTAACTGATTTCTCAAGGAATATAGTTGTTTATTTACTTGATGGCTGAGGTGAATGTTATAATGGTATGATTGGTCCATAAATAGTTTAGTACTGTATACAACACATCCTACTTGTAGTCACAGAAATTAAGTGAACAGAGGGTTGCTTTGATGTTTATTGATTCTGAGATTTTCTTTCTTGGATCCGCCTGCTTCATGGTTTAGTTTATCTACAGTACATAATTTTAGCATGCAGTACACCAGCTCCACAATCATTAAGGTCACACAAAGCTTTAATTGCAGCAACATTGTTTGTTGTAGCACTCTACAATGGAAATATAATTATTAAGAAAGTCTCAAATCAATACAGTTTGTTAAGCACGTACGTTGAGAGTTTCCTGTTCGTCTATGGCTGACATGTCAACCTTTGACTTTTGTCAGTATTCTGAAGCAAAGAGTCTCCCTCTACGGTTCCCGTCTGTCTCCCGCTGCTCTCCCTCACACCACCTCTCCTCCCTCCATCCCTTCCTCCCTCTGTCCGTTCCTCTCCATGATAAATGAGATGATATTTGGGTCTGTTAATTAGATAGCTATTTCAGGACCCCAATGAGCTCCTTGCTCCAATGAGATGTGCCCCCTCGCTCATCACCTCTCCACCCTCTCCTGCTGTGGGTGTGCAGGTGTGTGCATGTGTGTGCCTGCACGTGTGTTTCTGTGTCCAGCTGCTAACGGCTGCTGACAGCGTGGCCTGCAATCTGGGCCGAGAGAGATCCAGAGGAGTAGTCTATTAGCAGAGTCTGATTAGTCTGCAATACACCTCTTTCACACAAAGGTGCAGCGCAGGGCACATTTTTAATTCACCCTCATGCACACACACACACACACACACACACACACACACACGCACACACACACACACACACACACACACACACACACACACACACGCACACGCACACGCACACGCACGCACACGCACACACACACATTCCATTTAAAGACACGCTGTGAAAGAGGTTGAACCAGGCATTAAATTAAATGCACTCCATCATCACCTCCACTGGCCTCCCCTCTTCATTAAGGTCATCTATAGGAAGTAGACAGCCGTATTTAGCACCTTTTATTTGAATTCATCCCTCTGTGTGCCTCAGATGATTCCCAGCCATTTGTCTTTCTCAAACACATGTTGACTGCTTCACTCATTTCTTGTATAAATGTCCTCTATCCACAAACACAAATTCAAGTTATATAATCATATGAGAAATAATGATTAGTCGAGATCTGTAGACAGACTCCATAGTATTCAGATGTGTTTGTTCCTTTAATGTACTGTAGATGTTCTTATTGTACATTTTATTAAGTTACACTTCACGAATGCAGAAGGCTAGTAAAAAGCATTAATTAATGCTCTTTGAAATTGTAAGTCACAAACATTTCTAACTGTAAATCAGTTTGTCATGACCATCATCTGTTACCAACATAATTCATTCCAAATATTGGGAGAACATGTTAAGAGCCATGTGGAGCAGTCCCTCATTCATAGATATGCTATGATTAATAATGAAGAAGTAACAATACCACACATAATAAGCTTAATGCAATAACATGTCCTTCAGAGCAGTATGGTGCGCCCTCTACTGATCATATCAAAGAACTTCATTAGATTGACATTTGGGTTACAACAAAATGATGACGATTAAATAAGGTATACAGGAATACCATAGTTGAATATTTGACAATAACACATTTGAAATGATTATTTTGGCAAATCAATTAACTGGTCATTAACTGTGTGTCAATGCTTATTCATGTATTAATTAATGTTAATTATAGTAACTTATTGTTAAGTGTTACCACGTTTGGTATAGTTTGAGCTGGAGATATTTTGTTTAATATCTATTCGTTAAATCACAATTTACTAGAACATATTTTTCGGAACAACATTATATTTGTCCTTTAAGCACTCACAAAGCAAAAAATAAACCATCAAATAATAACACGCTGGTGATATAACATAGTAAAGTGGATACATATACACATTGTATCAACACCTTGTGTACATTCTTTAGACGCCAAACGGATTTTCCTGCTCTGATGGACTCCCAAATGGAGGAGATCCAGCAGAGGGAGCGCTTAGAAAAGATCCAGACTTACCGGTTGATCCGAGACAATGTGCTGGAGCACCAGAAACAGCAACAGCTCAACCGGAAGCAGCTGAGGACACACCACCCTGAGATATATGAGAACATGCAGGTCAGTGAAGAACAGTGAGGGCACTGAGTGATGGTGCAGACTGTAAAACAAATCATCATTTGTGAATATCAATGTAAGAGAGAGTGAGGAAGATATGTTATCAGCTTCCTCTCCCTCACATCACCCTGTAACGTCTTTCTCTTTACCTCTCTTGTGGCAGCACTGTAAGATATTCCTCGATGCTTGCGAGGCATTAAGTAACCGTCAGAAGGCAAACATTAAAATGGAACAAGAAGCGAAACAAGCTCTGGAGGAGGCCCAGCCGGCAGCTTTAGAAAAAACATCCCCCGACTCTGCTGCCGCCCAGCAGCCCAACAAACGTGCCAAGAGTGCTGGCAAAAAGAAATGATGGTCATTGGCATCACTCTCAGCTCTCCTCAACAGACACTTCTCAACAATACTGAAGAATCCAATCACAACATCGTATCCTGCACCTGATGATATAATACCTCACTCAAAGATTGTTCCAGCACCTGATTCAGAATTAACTCATGCTTATGACTTTAGACTCTTTTGAAATTTGAAACTAAGAACTTTGAGAACATTTATTCTGTATGACAGCTTAACATATTCTCATAGCACATATTGATACCTGTTATCTTTCATTTAGGACTTGTATTAACACTGTTCACCTACAAAAGTGTTTGTTGTAGTTTTCGTCCATTTTTTATCATAATATGAGCGATGCTTTACATTCTAAATAAAGACAAAAAATGCATTTGGCTTTCTGCATTTTTTTTTTTATAGCACTGAGAATGTCAAGCAATCTCACTTGCAATTCACTGCTTTGACTTTTTGCTGCCCGGTGTGCCTGATTGTATTCTGCAAATCTTTTGTTTTCTTGAAGGTCACTGTATTGATTGTTTGAGTTGATATGTTCCTGCTGATAGAAGCCCACAACCTCCTGCTAGCTGAGTGGTACTGATTGATTGGTTAATTGATATGTTTCTGCTGATAGAAGCCCACAAGAGTCCATTCCAAGGCAAAGTGTTTTATATGAAAAATGCAACATAGGAAGGTGAGCATTGATTTCCATAATCCCCAAGGTTGAAGTGAATATATTTCAGATGGAGAGCCTTCTGATGTAACGCATAACTGTTGATCAATGAAGTGTTTCTTTGTCGATTGAATGTCATATAGGGAAGTAAGTGCCCTTTATCTTAGCTCAGTATTTGAAAAAGTATCTGGTTGGTCTACATCCCACAGTCAGCTGACCAGCTGAGGGATGGAAAGTTAAATTGGAAATGAAAGGGAAGAGGGTGCCATCTAGTGGCTGTCGACGTTAATAGATTTCCATTACTGCACTATGCTGTTTTCATGCTTGACAATAATGAATAGTTCAATTTCGTGCTGCTGCATGAAGGAAATTATTATACTGCGGTGTGTGTGTGTGTGTGTGTGTGTGTGTGTGTGTGTGTGTGTGTGTGTGTGTGTGTGTGTGTGTGTGTGTGTGTGTGTGTGTGTGTGTGTGTGTGTGTGTGTGTGTGTGTGTGTGCATGCATTTGACTTCCCACGAGTAATAAGAAAATATTTGATTCTTAAATGGACCCACACTGAGGGATGATGAAATTAAGTACATTTCCCGAGCGATGTGGAGACTGCGGTGGCTCTTTAATTTACTTTCCATTTAGTGAGGTAATAATTCAACAATGCCTTAATCAATTTATTTGCTGTTACTTTTGTGAATGACAACAAGGGCATTCCAACTTGCAGGAACTGACTGTGTATTAATGGTTTCTCTCTCCGTCTCTATGGCAACAACTTTGTATGCAATGATCTCTTTCATTGAGCTTTGAGCATGTGGTTCAGTATCAGGCTGTCACAGTTGTCATCGAGTTCATTACGTCTCCTACTTTTAGTTACCTGTACGTTATCATTAAGTTGTTTACCACTAGACAATTAAGCCTGAACTGCATCAATGCAGTAGATCAGTTAGCGAAAGGACCTAGTGTGTTGCTGCATCATGAAGACAGACTCCAGGAGTTCACTGGCCTGGCCATGGGAATTAAAGCACGCTCTAAGACACAACTTGACCTTTTTACATCAAAGTTTGAGTGTGTGGGTAACAAAATATATTAAAATCTTAATAAGTAAGTGTTGGAGGTGTTAATAGTTTTTTTTAACCATGAGCCAGGCTAGCGTCTATGGGATTAGTTTTGTATCATAAAGATAAAGCAACACTTTCTCAGAATAAAGCAAAACTATGAGTTTAAAAGAAAAAAAAACTAAGTCAAGCAAAATAAAATACATTTCAAAAATAAAACTATAAGTTGCAAACAAATCATTTGTGTAATCATGTACTGTAAACTATAAGTATTTTTTCTTTGTTTTAACTTGGGTTTTTGTTTGCAGTTCTTGTTTCTTCTTTCTCAATGATCAGACTTTTGCTCTCGCTGCAGCTTTCTCGTTTGCGCTCCCTCATTTTTTGT